TTTACTATTCTTAGCATAAGATGTCTTCATGGGCTTCAGAGTTTTGAATCTCAGGCTCATTTTGCGTTGAAAGACTTTGTCTCTCTTTCTCTCTTGGTACTCCCTTCCCCCATCCAGCAGTTTTGGGTGGCTCCATTTGATGCCTGGTCTGTGGTAAAGAAACATATATATACACACATATGTATATTATATATATAAACATATATATACACACATATGTACATTATATATATATTTTGTTGTGTGTGTGTGTATATATGTATATATGTATATGTGTATATATGTGTATATATATTTTGTTGGTCGTTTGGAATCCTGACCCTCTTGGTCTATTTGTTAAACCAGGGGGCAGGAGATTAATAAGACTGTATCTGTGTTCTCCTTTGCCCCAGGGCCACACTTTCACATAAACTGTCACACCCCACCCCCATGAAATGACTGAATCCAATTTTTCAGACTTTTATTCTGACATAGGGTGACTCCTCTGTCCCCCATCCCCTGGCTTCAAATAGGAAGCCTGGCTGTGTTCCCAGCCTTGGGTCCCTATTATGTCTCAGGTCCAGAGCCTGGCAGGCCCATGTCAATACTCAGAAGTTTGTGTTTCTGGACCATTGTGAAGTTTATCTTGTTTATCTTTTTCAGCCCACTTATATCCTTTCAATAGTTTCTTTGCATATTTTATTGTTCTGTGTTCACAGCCCAGACAGGCGCCTCGGGGCATGAATCATAGCTTCATCTGGATGAGCAGTCACATATTCTTCTCCTGTTTTTATTTTTAAAATTCCATTAATTTTTATTTTGCTCTATTTTTATGGGCTGCCATCTAATTTCCCCTTGGAAGTAAAGTGAAATACAGATAAATTATTTCTTTAAATGTTTTATAATTTCTGAAATTGGGGTGCACCTTATATTCAATGCACCTGGGAATTTAAGATTTATGGTGTCAACCACACTTGGAATTGTGGCAGACACTTCACACATGTGCACAGTATCCAGGGGCCTAGAGAGACAGAGAGTCAGATGGAGTGACTCCAAGGAGTGGATGGCATTCCTCTGTGTATTTAGAAGAACTTGGAGGGATAGAAGGCTGCAGGCTCATTTCTGTTTTTGAAGTCATTGACTTCAGTCAAGGTTAACGCAGCTCCTGCCCCCATCTGATTTGGAAGGTCTCATGGAAGAAGTTTAAGGACACAGTCTTCCTTATTTCCCTCTTGCTTCATGCTCTAGAAGTTTTCACCTGGTCACAAAGGGGGCACACTTTGGCACACTGGGGTACAAGTATCCTTTCCAAGTTCTGACACTGTAGTTGTGGGACCAGCCCAAACTGGGCCTACCCTGTTGATAACAAAATGTCAAGCTGCCTTTTAGGTAGAACAGGGCCCAAAACTGCAAGTCATGTAGCCTGGGCATGTGCCATAACAAAAGTGTTGACCTCTAACAATACCCAGAACCAGTGATTCCTCCCCTTAGAACCAAGAAGACTGGGACATGACCAGAGCTTGAACACCAGAACTCATTCACAAGCAAGGGGGTCCATCGGCCTGGAAGGTCTGGGGCTAAAATCTACTTTAACATACATTACCACATATGGGCAAATTTGAAGCCCTCCAATCAGACCCTGGAAAGCCAGCATTCCTAAATACTTTCTCTTGCCACCTGATTCCTTAAAACTTGCCCTATGCCTCAAATCAGGGAGATGGATTTGAGCCCACCTCCTCTCTCCTTGCTGGTCAGCTTTGCAATAAAGCTTTTCTTTTCTCAAAAGCTGGTGCCATATTTATTGGCTTCTGTGTGCATCAGGCAGCAAGACCACTTGCTCAGTAACAACATCCTCATGCCCTAATTCTCTTGAGTGGAAACTGTAGGTCTGAGTGAATCCAGCTCTTGCTGGGTATTGTTAACTGAAGAATGACGAAGTTCATAAACCTGGAAAGGAGAGTTTTATTTCTCATAAAAGGTTGCATCCTGCAGAGTGGCCGTTTGAATAGGCTGGGAAGTGTAGCCTCTGGCCAGAAGCCATAAACAGGCACTTCAAGGGTTGGAAGAGTAAGACAGGAATTTATGTTGAACAGGGTGGCCAAATATACATATTCAATAAGCTACAGGAGGAGTCATAAATATTTATGAGAAGAGAAATATGCACATGTGCAACTGAGCTTCATGCCCCTTCATGGATAGCATCTACAAAAAATGGCAGTGTTAGCATGATCTGAGGGTGGAGTTTTCAGCCCTTTAACGTTAAAAGGTGAATCAGAGGATACAAAAGCTTTTACTGCACATCCTCCACAGCCTGGCCAGAACCACTCCAGGGTTGGTGGTCTCTTACCAGGAAAGAATGCTGGTCAGTTGTTGTGTGCCACAAAAAGGGAGGGGCAGTGTCAGATGGTTGGTTGGTATCAATGCTGAAATCTTTCAAAGGGGCTTGTTTCTGCTTAACCCTTAGGGAAAAAAGCCTAATGGTGGTTATTGGTTATGGAGGGGGGGGCAGTTAATGAGGTATGTCCAACCTCCCATTCCATCATGGCCAGGAACTCGGCTTCCCAGGTTTCTCTGGGGTCCCCTGGCCAAGAGGCGTCTGTTCAGTTCGTTGGGGGGCTTAAATGTTTATTTTTATTTCTCAGTATCTTTTCTCTCCAGCCATGCCAGTTTGAAACTGACCATGCAGAAGGATCACCTAGGTCAAGCCAGAAATCCAGACCCGGAATCAAACAGTTCTTACCCTTTGGCCAGTGTATTAGTCTGTTTTCACGCTGCTGATAAAAACATACCTGAGACTGGGCCATTTACAAAAGAAAGAGGTTTACTGGACTTACAGTTCTGTGTGACTGGGGAGGCTCACAATCATGGCAGATGGTGAAAGACACGGAGGAGCAAGTCAGGTCTTATATGGATGGCAGCAGGCAAAGAGAGAACTTGTGCAGGGAAACTTCCCTTTTTAAAACCATCAGATCTCTTGAGACTCACTGTCACAAGAAGAGCACAGGAAAGACCCACCCACATAATTCAATCACCTCCCACCAGGTTCCTCCCATGATGTGGGAATTGTGGGAGTTAGGACTCAAGATGAGATTTGGGTGGAGACACAGCCAAACCTTATCAGCCAGGTATCTTCACTCCTTGGTATTTACCCTGGGGAACCCAGCAGAGAAAGGGGTGGGGATTTATATACAAGTATAGTTTATAAAACTTTAGCATGGTAAACAAGATAAGGATCTATCAAAAAGGGTATGGCTAAACACGTTGTGGAACAGGATTTCCATGGACCACAGGCATTAACTGAAAATCAAGCTTCTGAACTATCTTTAATAGGAAAATGCTCAAAATTCAATGTGGTATTATGGTTACAAAATATTCATAAAAATTAATATTTTGTAGAACATATCATAGAAAAATGACTGGATGGAACTACAGAAATATTACTATTTGCTTAGCTGGGTGTGCTGGCCTCTTCCTGTGGTCCCAGCTGCTGGGGAGGCTGAGGTGGGAGGATGACTTGAGCACAGGGTTCCAGGTGGAGGGAGCTATGATGGTGCTACTGCACTCCAGCCTGTGCAACAAAGTGAGACCTTGCCTTAAAAAAAGTAATATATATATACACACACACACATATATGTACATTGTATATATATATGTATTACTATTTGCTATCGTTAGGTGGAGGGAGTCTGAGTAGTATAAAGTTTTACTTCTCTGACATCATTTGTTACATTACATTTATATTGAAATCACAATAAGGGTCCGACGCGGTGGCTCAGGCCTGTAATCCCAGAACTTTGGGAGGCCAAGGCAGGTGGATCCCCTGAGGTCAGGAGTTCGAGACCGGCCAGGGCAACATGGTGAAACCCCATCTCTACTAAAAATACAAAAATTAGCCGGGCATGGCAGCACGTGCCTGTAATCCCAGCTACTTGGCTGGCTGAGGCAGAAGAATCGCTTGAACCCGGGAGGCAGAGGTTGCAGTGAGTCGAGATCGCACCACTGCACTCCAGCCTAGGCGACAGTGCGAGACTCCGTCTCAAAAAAAAAAAAAAAAAAATCACAATAAGAAGAACGGTAAATTATCAAAAAAAAAAACCCCAATGACAACCACAAAAAGAGCCTTGCAAGCCCTCTTGGGAGGAATGGCTGAGAGAACACCAGGAACCCGCCCTAATGAAGACGCCTCAGCAACCACAATCTTCCCTGATTGGCAGCTGGGAAGGACTCGCAGCGACGCCCCGAGCTGGGGGAGGCGGGGAC